ACGAGAAATATCCCAAGTTTTAACATTTTAAAAGTTGAAAACAGATTTTTCGAAAATTGTAAGACATTTCCCAAAAAAAAAAAAAAAAAAAAAAACTGTGTTCAACCTATTTTAGCTTTTTGCTAAAAATAAAAAAAGAAAAAAGAAAAGGAAGAGGAACTTTTTCCTTAATTGCACTGAACAGTCACTTATTCTTTGTTCACATATATCCCAGCTTAAAAAAGGTAATATTTCGAATTTTCGGTTGCAAAGTACACACCCTTTAAAGTTCATTAATCAATTATTGTGTTCTCCCAAAAAATTAATCAATTAATTTATGAATATAACGACAGAAAAGGACAGAGAAGGAAAAGGAAGACCTGCATCTGAAATCAACTGCTGAGGAATCATTCATGATAAAGGAATTTTCACTCCTTTTTTTTTTTTTTTAACAATTACAATTTTCTTAGTATTTTTTATTTTTTTGATATTTTTTTGAGTAAGCATTAATGTCACGTTTAGGGATGGCAACGGGATCCGTAGGTCAGAAAATCCCTCTCCATGTCCATCCCTATAAAGATTTTTGACAGGAGTAATTTTACCCCATTCTTGTTCCATGTGAAGTTACTCATTCTTTACTAATTAAAATATTAAAATATAAACTTTTTACATATAATTAATTAATATTTAATTATAATAAATAAAATTTTAAAAATTTAAATATAATTTATTAAAATTCTTTTAATATAAATCAAATATAAATTATTTAAGTATAAATAAAGATTAATTCAATATAAATAACTAAATTAACAAATTTATTGATGATGGGTTGGGTTAATATTTATGGATTGTGTTAAGTTTAATTTTTATTAGATTTCGATTCAGTTTGAATATTGAATTAAATTTAAAATAAAACTAATTTACATATGTTTTTAATTTTTTACAGGGATAAGAATTCTCGTAATACCTCACAAGATGAGAAAAATTCCCCACCTAATTTCACAAGAGAAAAATACCCCATCCTGATGGTAATCAAGACAATAGCATATCTACTATGTCATGTCATCCATTACACACCGAAGGAGGTCCAATCACATGAGTTAGAGCTAAGAAGATGTGTGAAGCTTTAAATGGCTTTATTAAGCAAATCTGAGTTGAAAACAACATACAACAAGCAAATCGAAGCTTGAATGATTATCAAGACATGGTAAACAACATTCAGATTCAAGAGAAACTTAGTTGAGGTCATTTGCATGAAATTACATAGTTTGCATCAAAATCGCATAATTCTGTCGCAATTTGTAGCAAACTGATATTTCATGTCATTTTAGGTTATTTTTAGTGATTTTCACGTTTTGTGTATTATTTTTGACCTGAACATTCGCTTATTTGAAACCCAATTCCTGGTTATTAGGTTTAGAACTTAGAGTGTTAGTTTTCTATTCTGATTAGGATTTGTTTTCTCTATTTAAAAGGCTTGTAACCTAATGGAATGGAGGCTATTGAATCTGAGATTTTGAGATATTTTTCTTTTTGGTTCGTTTCAGAATTTTACAGAACTTATCAAAATTATTCTTGTAGCGTTTTAACCTGACTTATCATTCTGTTCTTAATCGTTCGAAAGTGTGACGTCAACCAACTTTATACCTCTGGTTCTTGTTGCGTTATAGACAACGGGTTAAGATTTTTATCTTTAATTCTTGTTGTGACATAAATAACGAGTTAAGGTCTTATTATAAATCTAATTTAGCTTTCTTAGAGTTTAAAAATCCATTGTCGTATTATGGATCTCATTGTTCTATTTGAGGTTCTTATCACATCCCCAACTCACAAATCGAAGCAAGTTACCATCCCTAATCATTTTTATGGAATATATAAAAGAAAATGGCAAAATGAACCTTTTTTGCCAGCTCAAAAAGCCTTTTTTTTTTTTAATTGATTAGTTGTAAAGTACAGATCCCTTTTACATACCCACCCCAGCAACACAATCATGTAGAGAGGAGACCACATGTTGAACCAAAGCCATGGACTTTCTGAACCCTGCGTCCCACGAATGAATCTATGAACAAAAGAAATTTAAGCTACAAAATTCGGAGAATGAATGATACAGACAAGTCATAGAAACTCAGACACGAATTTGAGATACAAAATTATAGCATATGGAACTACCATTCAGTTATTTTGGTTCTTTGATCTTTTTCCTTCAAGGAAGATGATATTAATGATATTTCTTAGGGTTTTATTTTTTAATTTTTATATCTTTTTATTATTTTAAAAAATATATAAAATATTAATTAAAATAAATATTAAATATATAAAATATACTTAATATATTTTTTAGATGTTAAAAGACTAAAAGACCTAAAACTACAGTTATTCCTCACGCATAGACCAAGTGGTTTACCACTTTTGTGAAAACACCTCCCAAGTTGAAAGTTCAAGTCGTCAATGATCTTTTTCCCCATTCCTTATTAGTAGAATAGGTTTGATTGTAATTTGTTTGAAAAAAAAAAAAAAAAAAAAAAAAACTAAAACTACAGTTACATGCCAACAATGTCAAACTAAGCCTTAGATGAAAAAAGAAATCTTTATGAATGCAAAATCTGGCATTGCCTGACAATTTCATGCCTTCATACTTCAAAGGGGCTCCTGTAGTTCTTCAACACATTATTAACTGCAAGAAAGTAACTTTCCTGAATAAGCTTCGAAACCATCTTGTTGTAAATCTCCTTTAGTAACATAAAGAACAGGTGATGGGTTGTTTGTGCTGTGTCTGTCTGTATCGACACTTGCATTTGCAGGAATCGATGATGGCTTAAGATTTTACTTTAATCATAAGATGATGAGACAATGCTAAATCTTATCACTCTTAAGTGGGGAACAACTCTATCTACTAGGCACCTGCTTCTAGCCTGCCTAACAATTGAAGCTAAGGGGTCATATTCAAAATGAAGTCAAAAAGGTTATGCCATATCCAATAATCAATGATAGCATACAAGAAAATTAGGATTTTGTTCATCATAATGTTTGTCCACTTTTTAAGAGGGCATAAGACTGTCGAAAGTAAGAAGTAGGAAGGCAGCAATTGCTAAATGTTTCTACAATGCAACAGACTATTTTCAATGGATTCAATGGCTTCAACATAAAAATAACAAATGAACATAAACTGTGAAACAAAAAATTCATTGGTTTTAATTTTGAGAGGGATACCTGCCTCAATGGATGAACAACAGCATAAAAGATCAAGACAAAGCCACTCCAGATCAAGCAGCATGTCAAAATCTTCCCACAAGCTGCAGCATGATCTGTTTCCATTAGCCAGGATAAATATATATATATATATATATATATATATATATTCCTCTAGCAGAATCTCTGCTCGGTGACAAGCTTCCAATAGAATATCGTGGCTGACAATTCAACTGCAAGTAAAGACAGTTAATAGATTGTTACTATTTTTCCATTAGACAAAAATATCAGGGCACTGATGAGCCAATTCAATTTGTGAAAGAGCTAACCTGTAGTTGCTCGTACCAAGCTTAACCCCTAGACAAACTTTCATGGATGGTGGCATGCACCCTGAGCACAACAAAACTCTATTTCTTTTCAAAGTTCGAGGCATACTAAAATGGACTGAATTGTACAGAGTAAACAAAAATACCCATCTCTAGCTATCTCATCTGACTTTAAAGTGAAAATTTCCATCTTTATAGTTTTAAGGGGTTAAGCTTCTTCATTGACATGATGGAAAGAAGCTTCTGCAGCCCCCGTTATCTGCTTCTAATTAGTGTTCTGCCCAAAGTTCCTTAAAAATGATCACACAGGGGTTAGCCATAAGATGCTAGTACATAACAAATACAAAAAATCTCTATCATTCTCTAGGAAATTAAGAAAAAAGTAGAGTACCTCATGATGTTAGAATAAACACCTGATTCTATTAGCATTGTCGGATAATTATGCCATGCTAATGATTGTCGGGTAGAGGCATCACCAAAACATCACTTGTCGGCTGGGGTGAATGGTAGAATTGAACTTATCCTTCATAAATATTAATATGGATTTCTAAAGATTGTGCCATTGCTGTTTCCATACAATGGTAGAATTGACCATTAGTGCCGTATGAAACTTAACTAGTAAATACATACACCAGCACTCCTCAGATAGCAATTCAAGATAAAGAACCCATGAAAAAGAGTGATATAAAATTCCCCTTATTCACAAAATTCCCCTCTGGCTTATGGGACAACTTCATTGAATGTCAAATCCTGCTGCATCCTAAAGAATTTTGTTGTGCAAGTATATATATGGTATAAAATCCACTCATCAAAATTCCAAATCTTATACATTCAATCCAGGAGAGCATTACAAGATTTTTGTTCTGAGAATCAAGGATAAAAAGCCCAATCAGCACAAAACATTCCTAATAAAAGAAGACCATATGACACTAGACAGACTAGCTACTGTAGACATAAAAATAACAATACCAATTCTTCTATAAAGACTTAACTTTGACTTACGCAGTGCTGCAGTAAAGGGGTTACAACTTACAACTACATAGACTTCAATTGTGAATCTCGCTACTATGACTCCTGTACATTTTTTGGTCGGAGAGCAGGACTTTGGGTATGGATGTATGAAACTGCAATTGAGAAAGATTGCAGAGCTGACAGCATTGATTGAAATTGAACAAAATACAACCCATCACGGATACTCGCTATCCTCAAGGCAGGAGCACCATGCTCTGAACCCTGAAAATTTTAAGTTGGGATATTGTCATCATAATAATAATTCGGGTTAGAAATGAAAAATGGTAATTTAACCCAAAAAGAAAAGAGATGAGATGAATTTAGTCAAAACACCAAAAAAGAACCAATAATGTTTTCAATTAACCCAAAAAGAAAAGAGGGTTTCATCCTAGGGATGCAATGGTTTGATCAACACAAGTCGAAAGAATGAGAAGTGCAAGATGTAAACCTGGAAACATATTGCTCCCAGAGGAGCACCTTACATTAAAGCATAATCTTAAAATGGATGTAAAAGATTCCAAAGAAAGAAAAACCTTGACATATAGCCTACTAATTTGGCATTGACTTTATTTTTTAGGTTGGTTTGGACAAATTTTGTCACCCAAATAATTTATCAATTTCAACTAAATTTTGTACAGAAATTATAAAATCCAAGTTAAATTTAACAATAAAAAGTCACAGGTACAGATAATTAGTAATTGGAAAAATGATTATGGGACATAAATAGGTTAAAATCCCATTTTGGTCCCTCTACTTTAATAACAGGTTCCTTTTTAGTCCTTATACTTAAGAACACCCCTTCTTAGTCCCTAAAGTTTATTGTACAGCCCTTTTTTAGTTCCTCTGTTATCTTTTTGCACATATAGCATGCTAGATGACAAAAATTCTAAGGTAGAGAGACTAAAAATCGCCCCTTTTTAGTCCCTCTACTTTGGAATTTCCGTTATCTAACGTGCCAAATGTTTAAAAAAAAAAACAGAAAACTAAAAAAGGGCCAAATAATAAACTTTAAGGATTAAAAAGGTGGTTTTTTTAAGTAGAGAGACTAGAAAGGAACTTTTGTTAACGTAGAGGGACCAAAATGGGGTTTTAACCTAAATTCACAGAAGACAAACTTGGGAAAAGCAATTGCCAGAAATCGCAAACTTATAAAGTAACTCCATTATTGATACCAACAACATTGACAATTTTAGATAACTGAGGAAAAACAAGGCAAAAGGAGAATTGCTTACCTGAATGAAAAAATCAAATAACTTGCACGCCTCTGATACATCAACATCAGGCAAATCCTCTTCTCTACTTGATCTAGTTTTAAGCACTGTTAGTGGACAACCCACGTCCCAGCCTCCACAGTTGCAACGTCCACCAGATTTCCATCTTTCAACAAGACTAGAGGGGCCACCATTTCCGGTTCTTGGACCACCATGAAGACCAGCTGGAAGTAGAACATCCAAACTTGTTGAACAACTACTAATATTGTCTGCACAAGCATTTTGTTCTGAGCCTTCAAAAGTATCAATTGTTGGCTTGGCACCAACTTTCTTGAGAAATTTCAAGCCCCAACCTCCAACTTCCTGCTGAGAATTTTCAGGGAGATGGTCTTTCACAAGAATAGCAGCCAATTGAAGATTAGTTGGAAGTGGTTCCTCCAAAAGATTAGTCCCAATAAGGGCATCAGAACTATTAACTGTGTCTTGGCACAACTCCAAAGAACAGTTTTCCAAAACAGAACTTGATCCCACAAATCTAGACACACTTCTCTGATTTGATGAGGGACTGGTTCTGAAAACATCCACAAACTTCTTTAATTGCCCCTTATTCTTCTTGTAATTCATGTTTGAAGTTTGCACCTCCCCAAAAAAATTTTCATTACCACCAAACAAAACAAACTGTGTCTCCATGATCTTAGAATTCTTAGAGCAGATGGTGAAAGAAGTTGATACCTTCATCTTACCAACAAGGTGTGACTCCTTATCATAAATTTTATGTCCCTTATTGCCACGCTTGCTTGAATGGAACAAGTACAGATATTCCGTACCCTTATCAAGAGCCGATTCAGCCTTTGACAAGTTGGCAACATAAACCTCCCTCTGATTATCTAGGGAGAAAACAAAATGAGGAATCCCACTTTTCCATGTGCATTGGAGCATTCCCCGAGAAATTGGAGGAGGAGAAGAGGGATAATCTAAGCATGAAGAGTTTGTGCTTGACATAGAAGTCCACCTTTTGTGAAAATTCTCAGATTGGTATTTATAATTCCCCAGTGCAGTTGTTACCTTTTCTGGTTTCTGTGATGCACAATTATTTAATCCACCAGGAGAACTCATGAAATCATAAGATATTAATCCTTTAACATCATTGAAACCTGTTCTTCTAAAATTAGCATCTGCATCTAATACTCCCAATTTCTGCAACAAGGGGCTTTTCAATATGTTCAACATACTCTTGCTACCCATTATTGAACCTACAATCCACTGTCCTGACAAGCCAATAACCACACTCTCATCACCAGCTGCTGGTAATGGACATCCAAAAACAAACCTACCAAAATCACTTGTGTCTTCATTCCTGATCTTAAGTGGATTGAAATCATCAGATAAACTGCCCATCTTTACAGAGCTGAAGTTCACTGAGATATTGCATCTGGCTGCTTTGGCTGCACTAATGTGAATCTGTTCCAGGCAACGACGCAAATATTTCTCTTCTAGAGTCACAACATGCCTCGGAATCTTATTTCCTAAGCCACGAGTGTTTTGAAGGAGCGAACCCTTTATGAAACTCTTTCTGGTGAGCAATTGTTTAAGATTAAATATCACACTACGATGTGAACTTCTCACCAACCTGTTTGATTTTGAATTAGAATAATTTATACCATCTCCTCCAGATAATTCTCCTATATTTCCCAAACCATCCAATGAATCCTCCTCCCACAGGTCATCTTTTTGACTATTGATGAACTTGTTCTCCATCTTGTTCCTGCAATTAAACAAAGTTGACCAATGATGCCGGAGCCTCACTATCCGTATTGTGTCTCCAATTGATTGGCTTGGGTTTGATGGCTGACAACATCCACACTATATATACCATCTAACCTTCAAATTTGTGTTCTCCAAGAAATCTAAAAAATAAAACATCACGAAGGGCTACATCAGGGTAGTGAAAAGGAAAAGAAACATATACAAAATGAAAACCTGCAGCATGATTCCTGTATCTCAGCAGTTAAAACATTAAGGTAAGAAGTAAGAACACAGAAATCAATCAGGTTAACAAATCATGAGAGAAAGGCAATTTCCAATTTTATGATTGTCCCCAAAAAGAATTATTGCAAATGGGATCATACGAAAAAATCAAGGGAATCAACAGAAAATGAAGAAAGAAGTATTGGGGGAAATATGCATACCATTATCAGAAATGATAGGATACAATCGGACTTTCTAATCAAAAACACAAAAGAAAAAGAATATAATAAACAGTTGGAGAATAAGTCAAAAGCAAACAAGATGCGATCTTTCTCCTTCAGTACTAACTTTATATAGAGGAATCCTCAGAATACTTGATATTGAACACTAACAAACAAAGATAAAAATGAAAAATAGAAAATAGAAACCCATATGGTACCCCCAAAAAAAAAAAATAGTAAGAAACAAACACCAAATAAGATTATGAGTATAAATTTTATACAATAAAAAGTGGGAAAGTTGCAAACTTTTATAAATAGAACAACTCAAAAGGAAAGAAAGAAAACTTTTTCTTACCTCAAGAAATGGATCCAAGAAGCAAGGCCATCCCAACCCCAGAAGCAGGTGATTCCCAGTGAAGCAACAGCTAACAACCCAATAATCCAAACCTTAAACCAAGAAGGAAAGAACAAAGAAAGAAGAACCAACCAAGTAAGATCCAAGGAGCAAGCTTTAGGGAACTTTAAAAAAAAGCTAAGAATGCTGGGTTCTGAGGAACTGTATTTGAGAAAAAGGTTTTTTGAGAGTAACCAAGAATTCTTCCTGTTCTGTTGTGGAGAGAGAAAGTTCCAAAAATGCAAAAGAAAATTATGGTAAGGAAGAAACTGAGAGTAGTGGGGGGCGTGAAGATGGTTGCAGGGCAGGTTTTGCTGTGGAATTTGGGTTCCATTGTTCCTTGTAGGACCCACTTGTGTTTTCTCTTTCCTCTTTCACCTTACAGAATTCTCCCTGAAATTACTTCCCTTGACCAATTATTAGCATTAAAAAGAACACAGAGGATATGAATTTCTATCCTCAGATTTATTTTGTGAGTTTCATTTCATCAACTCTAAATTTACTTTTTCTTTTTCTTTTTTATCATTTGGATGATGAATTGACAATTTTTAACTTAAAATTTTAAAATTTTAATTATCTGAAACACCCATTTGACCTTAAATTCTATTTGTTCACTGCATCTTTCATCCTTGCTGATTTTGAGGGTATATTTGACTGTTTTTGTTTTTGTGTTTCATTTTGCAATTTTCCCTAAATTTGTATTTGACTAGCAGAACCAAAACAAGTTTTTTTCTTTTTTTCTCAGAAAAGGAAATTCAATAATTAAGAACATTTGCTAGTTCTGTAAGCATTTATTTATGGCCCTTTGCTAGTTCTGCAAGCATTTATTTATGGTCATTTGCTAGTTCTGTATGCAAATTTCCCTCTCTTGTTTCTGTTTTTAATGTAAAAATTTGAAAATGAGATAAAGGAACAGAAAAATCAGTGGTGAGCTGGTTGGCAGGAAAAGAACAGAAGTCTAAAGTGGCGCCAGATCTGCTGACATGTGAGCTTTTGCTTTCTTTTCCCTTTCTTTTAGATTGATAAAGAACTATATATTAGAAAGTGTTTTTCAAGATCCAAAATAAGCATATATTA